CACCTCCGCGCGCCGGTCGGAGAAGAGAGAGTGAAGAGAGAGTGCCGGTCGGAGAAGAGAGATTGCAGGGAGAGTGAAGGGAATACTTTTGGTATTTTTATTATTATGTAATATTTTTTTTATTTGTGATATTCACGTAGAGTTGTTTTTATTATTAAAATTTTTTATTTTTTTTATTATGTAATTTTTTTTATTATTACAATTTTTTAATTATGTAATTTGTTTTAATTATTAGTTATTCATATTTATATATTATTTATAATAATTAATTTTATAAATTTTTTTTTATAAAATATAATGTGAGGTGTCAAAAAGTGTAGTATGAGTTGTAAAAAAGTTGAGGTGCTTATAAGCAATTTGCATTGGAGCAAAAGTTGTAAAAATATAGTATGAGTTGCTTATGAGTGATGTGGCACAGTGGGACCCATTTAAAGTGGTTGGGACATTGTAGATGCTCTTAGACACCGGAACTCATTTTGTTGTCTCTATATGTAATTAGTATATAATATCAATTAATCATATTATATATTTTATTATAAAAAAATAGATTTATTTTTTTAATTTGGCTAATTTGGTCTTATCACCTAACATGGACCAAGTTGGACAAAAAAATGACGGTCCAAAAAAATATAAATCAAACAAACTTAATCTAAAATAACATTTAGTCCGTGTAAGTTAGACTGGATTAGGCCAATCTGACCTGTTTGACATATCTACTTATTATTGAATCATATGATCTATCATCCATTAGATTGTCATTCTCCACTATCATCTTCATATTTTCACATGGTTGCACGATATATTATTGATTTCTCTAAGAAAAATTAGTGCATTTATATTTCTTTACAAGATGTTTATCTTTTAGCACGTCAAAACAAAGTTCATCAAATTATAATCAATTCATACCATTGAAATCTAAAGTAATAATTTCTATATTTTTTTCATCATAAATATATTTTTATAAAAAAAATATCTAATTCATAATCATCAAAGTTTTTTTTCCTAAGATTGTTAGATCCATGGAAATAGAAAATGAAAGATACATTATTTATTGATGAATTATATCAAGATAAATATCAATAAATGATAAATTAAATTAATAAATACTAAAAATAAATAAGAATAATAGTATAGAGAAACTTTAGTTGAAGCACGTTAGAGAAAAAAATCCTATTATATTATTATATTAGTTGGATTAATTTTTTGTGTCTCAACCAAAAAGTACTCTAAAATATTTAGTAACATTAGAAATAATTTTAGGAGAAAAAATAACTTTGACTTGTGTTATATCTTGTATTTTTATGTGTATTAATTCTACTAAGTAAGAGAACCATATTTATAGCTAACAAACAGCTAAAAACCACACAATTTACAATAACCCAATATAAGTTCAGTTGCTTAACTTGCAAAAAGGATAACAAACAAAACTAACCCGTGGTTAGTGCAACGTGCAGATAAAGAATTCGTCAAAGTAATAAAAAACATAACGGGTTTAATCTTTGAAAACGTTAATTAAACTAATTAAAAACATTAAAACATAATTTAATTAAATAAAAACATTTTAAAAAAAACATTTAATTAAATTTTAAATTATAATAAAATTTTCCAACATATTAGGGTTACTTTAAACTATGGGACCTGTATAAAGGTTTAGTGCAATAGAGTGAAATTCAATACTTGATAATTTACCTTTTAACCAACTTAGGGGTTAGGGAATTTCATCTCTAAACCTACCAATATCTTAAAAAGGGAAAAAAGACAAAGCAAAGCCACCAACTAAGGACAATGAGGGACATTGCTCCAAAGGGTGACCACGTTGGCTCCCTATGCTTATGTCCATTGGAATCAACCATCCCTAATAATTGAAGAGAGGTTGAGGCCAATTTACTACGACATGATGGGATCGGTTGGGTGTCTTTAGGAAATAGCCCTTCTTGCTTTGTTTTGTACCAAAACAAAACGATTGGGACATGCCTTGCTACCTTGTTCTCTTTCCCTGCCTCAATTTGTTTTATCCGAGTTAA